AGAGCCATTAGGTAGAGTAGGTGTCTCGCCTTCCAGGTTGGGGTCCGAAAGACTCCATATTTGGTTGGTTGGAGACATTGAAGGATATTGCAGCGAACCGGCAGCAGTGGCGTTCTTGTTGTTTCTTATCAGGTCAGAATGCTTGAAACGGTATGTATGCAGAGTTCGGTTGCGTACTCTGTTGACCATAGTGGCTCACATTCTGCCCCTTCCCTCAAAATAGGTCCAGTCTCTATCCACCTTAAATTTTCTCACTAACCTTGTATGCATTGCGAGTTTGGCAGCGATCAGTGAAGTTGGCCTCACTGTATTTCGCTGTACGATGATGATGATGATTGAAGAGCTGTTTCAAGTATGTCTTCTTCCTGACAAGCAGTACACCGAAAACGCTTGACCACGTTGACTGTGAAGTAACCAGTGTTGTTGCATCCGTTTGCACCCTCCACACGTTTTCATCCACAAATCTGTTTTTTTCACCTCTCATTTGTCATTGTCTTGACCTGTACTTATTATCGATCACCTGACATGCACTTTTCGTTCACCACGAATGACTCTATTTCTTTGTGCGCCCACCTTATTCGTTTACCTCCCCCTCCGGTGACCGTTTTCCGGATATGGTCTGACTCACCCTATCCTCCGACTATCTTATAGGTTTGCTTAATCTTATTCGGACTAGTCCTCTGTCTCACCCGTGTGTCCCTTGTGTACATGTTCGCTCTGACATTATTTCACTTATCGCTTGTTCGTTTGACTGAGTTTGTCCGTCAATGAACGTTGGCCTAGATATTCGTACGGATTTAACAACTATCTTGTTTTTTGTATTCAGATTGATGGACACACAAAGCGCCCCCAATGGTCTGTTTGTGGCCCTCGAAGGTGCTGATCGTACGGGTAAATCAACTCAGGCGAAACTGCTGGCCGAGGAACTCACCAAATTGACCGGGAAAAAATGTCTTCATTTGAAGTTTCCCGATCGGACAACACCATTGGGACAGTGTTTGGATGGATATCTAACTGGTAAACGAAACATGGATCCACATGCACTTCACCTGTTGTTCACGGCGAATAGGTGAGTTTGTGTTGCAGTTGCAACTTTGAGTTTTATTTTATACAATCGATAACCGTGCTTTTCCAATCGGTGGTTTTGGTTCTGTTCTGGCAGCCCGTTTAGATGAGGGAATTGAGGGAAGGACTGTAAGTAGAATTTCAGGTTTTCAGTTTCAGTTTGAACAACCATTAACCATGCACTTTCGTGCGCCGGTTTTGGTT